AACACACTCTCTACCCCACCTCAAAACACCACTCTCTACCCCACCTCAAAACACCACTCTCTACCCCACCTCAAGAACACCACTCTCTACTGCACCTCAAAACACCACTCGCTACCCCACCTCAAAAACACCACTCTCTACCCCATGTCCCCCCAATTGCTGCCAAATGCCCCTTGCTCTGACCTGAACCCCTGGAGAAGGGCCTTGTCTGTGGCTGTCCCCACATCCTCCCCTCCCAAGCTCTCAAGTCCATCCGACCTGGCCTTCTCCCTGCTCTACCTAACCTGACCTGAAGGTCGACCTCAGGGTCACCCACACGTCCCCACTGGTTTCTGACCACCCCTCGGCCTGGCCTCATCAGGGGCCACTCCTGGCTCCACCTCTTCAAAGCCCCACCCTGGTGTGGCTCCTCCCTCCTGCCCCCCCTCCCCACCCCAGCCAGCCTCTCTTCACCCACCCGGGCACAGGGTGCTCTCCTCTCAGTCCTGGCATAATCCTGGGGTCGCCCCAGTTTCACGGCCTCCCATCAGGAGCCCTGGAATGGCTGCTCAGCCAGCACCCCCACCCTGGACCCACAGGCCCCCTGCACACTCCAGGCCACTACCCTGACCGTCCACAGGACAGCACCTAGACGCCCCCACTCAGGACAGAATTCCGGCCACTTCCACCAAATGGCAGATACCTCCTGGTATCACACCCAACCCATGAACAAATCCTATTGGCCCCACCTTCAAATCAATCTAATCAATCTACAGACCCTCACCCTGGGTGCCCCCCCTCCCCCCGCCCCTGCTCCCAGACCCTCCACAAGCTGCCTCACGGCAGCCCCGCCCCAACCTGAAGCCCACACCCTGGCTGTCCAGGCTGCACCTGGAGTTGGTTGGAAATTTAGAGCTTGGGCCAACCCAAACCAGCGGAGCAGAAGTGTGCGAGCCAGGACTTCTCGGCCACACCCACGTGCGTGACGGGTGTGTGCATGTATTCACGTGCATGCGGCTGTGTGCACGTGCGCGCGCGCCATCCCTGGACACACCTGCATGCGTGACACGTGTTTGTGTCGTGTGTGCATGCGTGCGTGACACGTGTGCATGTGTGATGTGTGTGTGCATGCCGCCTGTGTACCTGCACATGCCACAGGTCTGAGGAGCACGGGCCTGTCCTCCCCCCAGGCTCCCTGTGCACAGCCCTGCCTCAAGAAAACCCGAGTCCCAAATGGCCACAGCTCTTCTGCTCCAGAGCCAGCCTGTGCAGGAAGCAGCACCCCTGCCCTGCAGCCACTTCACATCTGGCAGGGAATCCTCACGCTTCGGCTGCCTCGGCATCCATTCTGAATCTAGGCTGGACCTTCTCCGACCCGAAGCATGCCCACCCCCTCGCCGACACCTTCCAGCTCACATCCCCCGCCTTCCTCGCAACTGCCCCTGGTGACCACCTCCCTGTGTCCCCCTGGACCCCAAGCCCACATGGACTATGCAGCCAGGCCGCAGAGTCCCTCACATCACAGCGTGGCCACTCGGGGCTTGTGCCCGTGTGCTTTAAACCCACCATTTAAAACTCCAACTCCCCGAGGAAAACCTGTGTGCAGAACACCCTAGACTCAATAAAGGGTCGGCCTGGGGGGCCCCATCTCTCCACTGTCCCTGGCCTCCCTATGTGTGTGGCCTCCCAGGGGGCCGGGCACCCCAGGGCCCGAGGGTGATCAAAGCTGTTTTCCTTTGTGTCTCTCTCGATCACTGGGGGCTGCTCTCCCTCCCACAGATCCTGGATGCAAACACAGCTTCACCGTCGGACATGCTGCTGAGCATGGGGGCACTGCAGCATCCTCTCTGCACTCTGCCCAGGCTGGCACTTGAGGACACACAGAACAGGGGTGGAGCTGACAGTGGAGAGATGGCATGAGTGAATGTCACTAACCCACCCTGGTGAGAAGCCACATGTACCAGAGAGAGGTGAACCCCAAGGAACGGCACCCAGAGGATACATGGGATCATCAGGAAAGGCCAAACGGAAGAATGAGTGAAAGAAACAGGCATGTGTCTAAAGAGGAGGCAGAACAGCCAAAGCCAGTTTGGGATGACGTTTAGCTCAGTACTGACAGGCAAGTGTGATTCACACGGCAGGAAAGGGTCACATGGAGTGGAGAGGGTGCTGGGAGATGGGCACCCTGCTGCCCCACTGAGCACAGACCTGTCAGGAAGCCCCAGACAGCAATCCCACTGTTTGCCACCAACCAAAGAAACACAGACAAATGCACCCAGAGCCACACACACAGATATCCACAGCACCAGGCATCTGCACAGGTGAAAAATCAGGAAACGCCCACTTCGTCCTGAAGTGGGTCCCTGGCGACTTGAACATGGTGGCCAGGGACGCCCCCACATCCCAGACCACCTGCTGAAAAGCCTGAGGCGAAGGCCCAGCTGCCTCTTCTGCCCCATCCCGTCCCTCCCCTACCCCTGCCTGACCCTTATCACTGGGGTAAGTCTTGAAACCAGGGACTCCACTTTATTCTTTAGAAAAGTTATTTGAGCTTTTCTAGGTCCTTTGCCTTTACATGTAAATTTTAGAATAAGCTTGTGTAGTATTAAAAAAAAAAAGAAAAACTGAGATTTTTTAGGACTGTATAAAATCTACAGATTAACTCGGGGAGTTATTCAGCAACATTTGTAGGAAGCCAGCTCTGAACTGTCAGGCAGCACCAGGGGCAGAACGGCCACGGAGCCCAGCATGTGGAGGGGCCACAGCTAATGCACGCCAGGGCAAAGAGACATGGACCCTGCACAGGAGCCGCCAAAAAGGCAGCAAGCGGGGTCGGAACATCCCGAAGTCGAGAAGGAAGCCATCAGCAGCAGCATCAGATACCAGAGGCCAAGAAACTGAGGCCTGAGAACAGCCCCTTGGCAAGTGGCAATTCGGAGGGGCTGGTTCCCTGGAGACGCTGAAGGAGAGCAGAGGGGAGGGCTGCAAACAGCAGAAGGCAGCCCCAGTGAGGGGGAGGGCCGGGCGGGAGCAGCAGTGCCACAGAAAGGGAAAAGGGAAGGCAGTAGGAAGACGCCTTCTGTCTCTGAAGGGAGGCTTTCCTGAGACCCGGGACCACCAGAGCCACCCAAGGTTGTGGGCAAACACTGAAGGGATGGGAGGAGACCAAGATAAAGGACAAGTGACAGGGTTGGGGCTGGCAATCACCACACCCCCTGCACACCCCCAGGGGCTGCCCCTCTTCTCCCGACTGTGTCCCGCCATATCGAGGGAACAGCGTCCACCAGCAACTGCCCGGGCTGGTGATGATGGGGGCTGTGGGGTGCAGTTACAGATTAATAAATATTCAACATTTGTTTCAAAAATACTAAAACTGGCCGGGCGTTGGTGGCTCACACCTATAATCCCAGCACTTTGGGAGGCCAAGGCGGGCAGATCACAAAGTCTGGGGTTAAGAGACCAGCCTGACCGACATGGTGAAACCCCATCTCTACGAAAAATATAAAAATTAGCCAGGTGTGGTGGGCGCCTGTAGTCCCAGCTACTCGGAAGGCCGAGACAGGAGAATCACCTGAACCCGGGAGGCAGAGGTTGCAGTGAGCCACGAAGGTGCCACTGCACTCCAGCCTGGGCGACTCCGTCCCAAAAAAAAGAAAAAGATACAAAAATACTAAAACCACAAAACAAAAAAACATGTTTGAGCTGGCGTAATTTTGTTTGTCAAAGACCACTGCTCGTTCTGTGGTTACGTCCTTCACACCAGCTGAAGGCACCCGGACATATGTCAGCAGCACTTGAACACGCCTGCTCCCAGGCCGCACCTCGCCTCGGCCTGCGGCGTCCCCAGTGCTGGTCCTCGTCAGTGGCGCCGTGATTGCGTGCCCACCCTAGATGTGCTCCTGCACGCTGGGTACAGATTATCCCGGAACCAGGACTCCTGGGTCAAAGGAGACTGTTTGGGTAAGGCTGTGATAACTCAGCCAAAGCGCCTTCAGGAGAGCCTGACCCTTTTCGTTCTTACCCACCCACCACCCTCCCAACAGTCCAAAGCAGGGGTTAGCAAACCTCTAGCAGCAGCACCCTTCTCTCATGAAATCTCACCCACAGCCCCACAGAGGCAGACAGAGCTGCTGCTCCAGCCCTCTGAAGCCAGGGCCCTGCGGCTAGAGAGCCAAGCAGCTGCCGACCTGGCCCTGCTCTGCCTTGCACTTGCCGGTGGACGGCGTCCATGGGCACGCCGACTCCTAACCTGGCCCAGACCCTGAGGCTGGTGCCAGTACCCCTCAAGGCCCCAGAAACTTGCTGACCACTCCAGTGTCTGCTCTGTAACAACACCCGGGACTCTAGGTAGCGGCTATCGACCTGGGTCAGCCTTGGCAGCCCACGAGGGACTGAGGTGCTGGGCAGGTCCTACAGCTCCCGAAGCCCCAGAAGCCACAACACACAGGGAGACTTCCGCTTAGCTCAGAGACTGTTCTGAGGATTACAAGACCCTGAGAGTGCCCAGCACAGAGACACACTGAATAACATGCCTTTCTTTCCTTTTGATGATATTCACCAGGTCTTAAGAAACAGCAAACAGGCCAGCTTCAGTGTTTACCCTGGTCTGGTTTCTCGGCTCTAACCCTATGGTGTTGGAGGCTGGTGAACACTGACACTACAAGCCTCCACTGCAGACTGACAGACATCAGCCAACAACACGCGCAGCAAACACTTCCAGGGCTCAGAGAATCAGCTGGGGGTGAGTTCCAGCTAAGCCTATGTAACTAAGGCACATCCATCCAAGGTAGAAAGGCTGTTGTTTGCAAATAAAAGATGTTTAACAGGCAAGGCCGTTTCAGAACATAAAACCTGCCACCTGAGGACAGAATCCTTACCTTCATAAGGGGTCATCTCTGGGCCTCTGACCACATAGTGCCTAAGGGAGAGAAGAAAATTAGTTGGGATTTGAGGACAGCAAATTCTCCAAAATCTGAAAATTCCAAGCCTGGGGTTCATAGGACCCAGCCAAAATTACATTCACATTCAGGTAGAAGGTGAACAAAGGAAGGTGGAATGTCACACGGCAACACGGCTTCAAAGCCGCCAGTCTCTTCTGCTCTGGGTGCTTTCAGTCTCTGTGTAACGGAATCTTGGAGACTATGTAAGTTTACCATAAAGTAGCTTTGTTTCTACAACATAACAGACACGAAGCTAATCCTCTCTAATCATTAGTAACAACTGAGGCTGGGCGGGGTGCCTCACGTCTGTAATCCCAGCACTTTGGGAGGCTGAGGCAGGCAGATCACGAGGTCAGGAGTTTGAGACCAGCCTGGCCAGTATAGCCCCGTCTCTACTAAAAATAAAAAACTTAGCCAGGCATGGTAGCACACGCCTATAGTTCCAGCTACTTGGGAGACTGAGGCAGAGAACTGCTTGAACCCAAGAGGTGAAGGTTGCAGTGAGCCGAGATGGCACCACTGCACTCCTGCCTGGGCAACAACGCGAGACACCGTGTCCAAAAAAAAAAAAAACCTGGAATTCTAAATAAATTTTAATTTCATAGTGCATTATTAAGATGTACTTGAAAACTGGGTGCGGTGGCTCACGCCTATAATCTCAGCATTTTGGGAGGCCAAGGTGGGAAGATCATTGAGCCCAGGAGCTTAAGACTCACCTAGGCAACACAGACCCACCTTAATAATAAAAAAAAAAAAGTTAGCAGGGGTGGTAGTGCACGCCTCACTCTGAGGCAGGAGGTTTCCCTGAGCCCAGGAGTTTAAGGCTACAGTGAGCTATGATTGTGCCACCACATTCCATCTGGGCAACAGAGACTCTGTCTCCAAAAAAAAAAAGAAGTGTATTTTAAAATTTATATTAGCCGGCCATGGTGGTTCACGCCTGTAATCCCTGCACTTTGGCAGGCCGAAGCGGGCGGATCACGAGGTCAGGAATTTGAGACTAGCCTGGCCAATATGGTGAAACCCTGTCTCTACTAAAAATACCAAAATTAGTCGGGCATGGTGGCACACGCCTGTAGTCCCAGCTACTCAGGAGGCTGAGGCAGAAGAATCACTTGAACCCAGGAGATAGGGACTGCAGTGAGCCAAGATCGTGCCACTGCACTCCAGCCTGGGTGACAGAGCAAGACTCCGTCTCAAAAAAAAAAAAAAAAGAAAACCCCCAAAAAAACAACATTTGTATCTTTAAAAATGTGCTTATATATAACATACTTTTTGGTATCACGCATGTAGGCTAAATAGAACACAGCTAGTGACATGACGCCAGCCCCTTTCATGCTCCTGGAAACACCAGAAGTGACCTTGAGTGGCTGTTCTGGAGCAGAAGGAGCCGGAACAGTCGTGACTCTCGCCAAAGCCAACTCCCCACACAGAGCTCACCCTGAGACAAGGAGCAACAGCAAATCAACCCGCACTCCTCCACACACACGAATAAGCCTTTCGCTTTATGTAAAGTTGTGTCTGGGCTTTACAGATTCCCAAACAAAACAGAAGAGCACAGAAAAGAAAGTAAAACCAGCTAGAGATGCCAGAAACCAGACGCTGCTGCCAACTGCAAGCCCCGGCCATCGCCCTTCCCCATGCTCTCCCACAGGACACATGTGCTGTCACTTTAATGCTAATTGGGGCCAGGCTCGGTGGCTCACATCTGTAATTCCAGCACTTTGGGAGGTTAAGGCAGGTGGATCATGAGGTCAGGTGTTTGAGACCAGCCTGATCAACATGGTGAAACCCCATCTCTACTAAAAATACAAAAAAAAAAAAAAAAATTAGCCGGGCATGGTGGTGGGCACCTGTAATCCCAGCTACTCGGAGGCTGAGGCAGGAGAATCGCTTGAACCCAAGAGCTGGAGGTTGCAGTGAGCCGAGACCATGCCACGGGACTCCAGCCTGGGTGACAGAGCAAAACTCCATCTCAAAAAAAAAGAAAAAAGAAAAAAAAAGAAAACTAGCCAGGCATGGTGGTGCACTCCAGCCTGGGTGACAGGGCAAGACTCTGTCTGTGATGCCTGCTATCTGCCAGCTGGTATCTTTTACTCAAAAAATTGCCATTATCGTGTGTCAGTGGCCCAGGAACCAAGTGGCTCTTAGCTCAGTACACAACATACCCAGGAACATGGTCTTGTTTTGTTACTGTGCCCAATCTGTGAAAACAGGGAAGACACGAAGAAGTCGTCCTCTTCCCGAGACACAGCCCAGAGGCCTTGGGGCCGCCGAGACAACATGGGATCCGCGTGGCCCGAAGCGCGCCCCACAGGCCTTTTCTGGGAAAGCACTCTTCTCTCAGGGAGGGAGAGACACCTACCAGGCCGCACCAGGGGCTCTCGAGGCATAGGCCTGACACTGTCGTCCAGGCCAGCTGCCACCGCCTGACAACAGGGCTTACCGCCAACACAGTACAAGTAACGTGGTCTACGATGAGCCCCTGCTCCAGCAAGTCCAGTTATTTTGGCAGGTGCCAGGCAGAGAGTACCTGCAGGACCAGCCCCATAAAATCCCTGGGCCTTCCCCTATTATGTTGTAGCCTCAAATGAGCTTCTCTGGCCAACATTCCACACACGCTGTCCAAGCCCAAGCCTGCTGCTGGGACTGGGGCGCAGCCCTCACGAGGCCCAGGGCCTGTGCTGAGCTTCCTGGAGACTTTGCCCCACATCCTTCTTCCGCTGGCTGGCTACTGTTTTCTTCTCCATAATTTTAAGGTGAGTGTTCTCTGCCAATCATTGAACCTGAGCAGGGTCTTGGGGACGCCAACCCACAGACTTCTGGGGAGGGTTCCTTGCCATCAGGGGGCTACCGTGGAACGTGTCCCTCACACCTGCCAACTCTGTCCCGGGGCTGCATCTGACTTTCAGCACTAGGTGCAGAGAGCACTCTGGTGGCCGAGGCTCTGCCTCACCCTGGGTACCCTCCACCTGCCTGTGCTAGGCCTCCTCTATAAGCCAGAGAAAGCGGCCCCTGACCAAAAGACATTTCCTTTCAACTCACTGAAATAACCTTTTCTCTCAATTAAAAAAAACTAAAAACTAATTTTTTAAAGACTAAAATATAAAACATCCTGACACTTTATTTCTTACCCAATCACCAGCAGCCCTGCAACAGCGGCGTTTCCGCAGACCGGCATGCACTCTCAGAGCCCAGACTTCAACAAGAAAGAGTCACCGTGAGGTGAACACTTACAAGGCACAAGTCCTCGCGTCGTCAGCCTCAGGGTCGGGACACCTGGCCCAAGCCAGCACCAGGGACAGGAGTGTCAAACCCTGGTCCTACACTGGCCCAAAACAGGCTGATTCCCATATCCAGAAGCAAAGAGTAGAGTCTAGAAAGGCAATTTCTCCTCTAAGCACCTGGAGCGCACATCAGCAGCAGCTGTGAGCCCTGCACACCTGGACCCCTCACCTAAGGACCCCACACCAGACATTCTCTCCAGCCCCAGCCTGAGTCAACCTGGACTCCCCCTCACCCAATGACCCCACACCGGAGATTCTCTCCAGCCCCAGCCTGAGTCAAGCAGGGCTCTGTGATGTCCCCGGCATGCATCCAATGGGAAAACTACCAGAGTGTGTCCACAGGCCCCTGGGCACACACTCACCCCTGGGGAGGGTGCAGGAGCACCTCACCAATGCCATGACCGGGGCACCAGGCTCACCCAGCCAGGCCAGCGGAGGCCTGAGTGGCAGCGACAGTCAGTGCGGGGTGATCAGTGGTGCAGAGCCTTACCACTCGAGAATATTCGAAGGGAGGGGCTCAGCGCAGATGTAAGGCACTGGGTCTTTCTTGATGCGAAGGTAGTCCTGCTTCAGCCTCTGGGTCGCTGTGGTTGGAGCCCTCTTAGTGCTGGTGCTGCTCATCTGTTAAAAACAACATCTACACTGACGAAGAAAAGCAGTGCTCACCCCGGCTTTCTCCCCGCAGCGCACCCTGCCTCCTGTTTCTGCAGCCCGCCATTCATTCGGGCCTAGCCCTGAGGCGCATACCTCAGCCCCGTCACCAAGTCACAGCTCACAGGTCACCCTGACTCGCCACCCGCCCTGCGGCTTCTTTTCCCATCTGTCCTGCCACCACCTTCACTGACACGATGTACAGCTCAGGTTCAAAGATGAGCAGAAACCCAAATCCTCGCCCCTGTCCTCAAAGAACTCACACAGGGACACACACAAGGCCTGAGGTGGTGGTGCCAAGGCCACAGCCTCAGATCGGCTCCGAGGGGAGCTACTCACACCTGCCAACTCTGAGCTCAAAGATCCCTCACGGATGGAGAATCCACACCACGGAAAAGGACACGCACCACCACCAGCCCCTCCACACACCCGGGACCTGCTGCCCAACACATTCTGCTGGCCACAAGCAAAAGGAACTGCAAACAAGGGGAGCCTCTACAGCTGGAGTGACAAAGGCTCTGGAGACCCCAAGGCACTCGCTGGGCAGAGGAGCAGCTGTCTTCCTGGTAGAAGGGGCCACAGGTGAACAGGCCACACATGAGACAGGGCAGTGTGGCAGGGCCCAAGCACAGTGAGGGGCAGGGGTGAGACTGCCCAGCGAGGCGGGGCCCGGGCAAAAGGGTTTTATTCATCTATTTTTTGTGAGACAGGATATTTCTCTGTTGCCCAGACTTGAGTCACGGTGGCCTTGACCTCCTCCCACCTCAGCCGCCCAAAGTGCTGGAATGACAGGCAGGAGCCACTGCGCCCTCGGCACCACAGGGGTTTTAGGTCCAAGCCTTAAACAGACCCTATCTTCTGTTAGGAAGGTCACTCTGGTAGCTCCATGACGGATGTTCAAGACAGCACTGAGGGCCAAGCACGGGGCATGAGGTGCCATCATGCAAGAGAAGAGGCTGGATTGGGCAACCCAAGGCCCCTGAGCCATGGCTGAGGCTGGGGAGAGGGGTGCTGATGAGAACAGGGCGTGAGGCGTGAAGCCTTACCACTCGAGAGCCTTACCACTTCCCTTACCATGCAAGAAAAGAGGCTGGATCGGGCACCCCAAGGCCCCTAGCCATGCCTGAGGCTGGGGAGAGGGGTACTGATGAGAACACAGGGCTCCCACTGCATCAGACCAGCTCCAACTCAAACCTGTTTTTATTTTATTTCTTTATTTTTTGAGACAGAGTCTCACTCTTCGTCGCCCAGGCTGGAGTGCAGTAGTGTGATCTCAGCTCACTGCAACCTTCGCCTCCCAAGTTCAAGCCATTCTCCTGCCTCAGCCTCCCAAGTAGCTGGGACTACAGGCACATGCCACCATGCCCAGCAAATTTTTTTTTTTTTTTTTGGAACAGATTTTCCCCCTTGTTACCCAGGCTGGAGTGCAATGGCACGATCTCGGCTCACCGCAACCTCCGCCTCCTGGGTTCAGGCAATTCTCCTGCCTCAGCCTCCTGAGTAGCTGGGATTACAGGCACGCGCCACCATGCCCAGCTAATTTTTTGCAGTTTTAGTAGAGACGGGGTTTCACCATGTTGGCCAGGATGGTCTCGATCTCTTGACCTCGTGATCCACCCGCCTCGGCCTCCCAAAGTGCTGGGATTACAGGCGTGAGCCACCGCGCCCGGCCCTAAATTTTTTTTTTTTATTTTTAGTAGAGGCGGGGTTTCACCATGTTGGCCAGGCTGGTCTCACACTCCTGACCTCAGGTAATCCGCCTGCCTCAACCTCCCAAAGCGCTGGGATTACAAGTGTGAGCTACCACACCAGGCCATGGCCACACGCCTTAATACTATCCCTGGACATCACTGGCCATCAATAACAGCCAGTGACCAATGATCTCCATCCTGAACTCCCAGTTTGCACAAACCTGAAGTCAGCTCCACTGCAGCTTCTGCACTTGGGGATCCTTGCTAATATGGTTTGGCTGTGTCCCCACCCAAATCTCATCTTGAATTGTAATTCCCATAATCCCTCATGTTGAGGGAGGGAGCTGGTGGGGGTGACTGGATCACGGGGGTGGTCAGCTCCATGCCGTTCCAGTGACAGTGAGTTCTCACAAGCTCTGATAGTTTCTAAGGTGGTACTCCCTGCTCTTGCTCACTCTCTCTCACCTGCCACCATGTAAGATGTGCCTCTTCGCCTTCCGCCATGATTTTCAGTTTCCTGAGGCCTCCCCAGCCACACAGGACTGTGAGTCTGTTAAACCCCTTTTCTTCATAAATTACCGAGTCTCAGCCTGGCACGGTGGCTCATGCCTCTAATCCGAGCACTTTGAGAGGCCAAGGCGGGTGGATCACCTGAGGTCAGGAGTTCGAGACCAGCCTGCCCAACACGGTGAAACCCTGTCTCTACTAAAAATTGGTCAGGTGTGGTGGCATGTGCCTGAAATCTCAGCTACTCAGGAGGCTGGGGCAGAAGAATCACTTGAACATGGGAGGCGGAGGTTGCAGTGAGCTGAGACCGCACCACTGCACTCCAGCCTGAGCAACAGAGCAAGACTCTATCTCAAAAAAAAAAAAAAAAAAAAAGGCCAAGTCTCAGATACATCTTTACAACAGTGGGAGAACCAACTCGCATACCTGCAGAACAGCCACACACGCCACCTCCCTTCAGCCTCCACCCACAAGAGATCTCCAGACTCTTGGCCTCTTTGCCTGGTTTATTCCTCCTCAGAGAACTATCGCCACCAGCCTGTTTAGTATCTGCTCCCAATCTGAGAACGGTAACAGCCAGAGCTTGGCTGCTCACCCCACACACCCAGGGCCCAGAGAGCAGGGCTCAGCCAGGGCATCCACAGCATGCTCCCAAATGCATAGCCTCAGCAGCACCACCCACCTCTGCTTCTTGTTCTGGGGTCCTTGACCCTTGTAAGCCTTGTTCTCCACGTCCTTCCCACTCCCACTGTCCAAAGGCAGAATGTCGTCACTTCTGCCATCAACACTCCAGCAGCCGCCTGCCCGCCCACCCCCGCCCGACGCCGTGGGTCCAGAAGGTCTGAGCTTCTAGTTTCTCCTCATTTCAAGGCCGTCTTGTACCCTCGAAGTCAACACACTGTTCAGATCACTCACTCGCCCAGCCACCCTCAGGGTACCCCCACAGCCAGGCAAATAAACATCAATACCTCCTCCTGCCTGCCAAGCCCCTGGCAGAGCAGCCCAGCCAGCCCTCCTCATTCCCAGCTCCCAAGACCCAGCATGGTCCAGGCCCCCTTCCAAACCCCTGACTGACACACTCACTCCTTCTCACAGCTGTTTCCCAGCCCAGGCTGTACTGTGAACTCACCTAGGCCCTTCCGGGCCTGGCTGGAGCCACTGCCTTCAGAGGCCTCCCTGATTTCCCTGCCAAATGCCTCCCAATTGGCCTCCATGTGACCCCACACACCACGCAGGGCCCTTCTGGGCCCCAGTACAGGCAAGGGCAGGCTCCTCTGCCTAAGGAGTGCCTCCCCAGGAGGAGGGCTACAGTCGTGCCCAGGAAGCAAGTGCTCCCACACAGCAGCATCCCCAGCTCCTGGCTCAAGAAGCCAATGGACCAGGGAGCTCCCCTTGGGCCAACACCTGGTGATGGACACAGCCATGATCCCAAGCAGCACCGCCACATGGGCTGGCCTTTCAAAAGCTCACCTTGAAACTAACATGCTGCCATATACAAAATAATGCACTGGACAATTCTACTGCAGCTGTGTCTGGACTTAGCTAAGTGGCCAGGCTGCAGGAAAGTTTATGGACTGCCATGCAAAAATAAAACAGGTTCCATCTGGTCAGCCACAAGAAAGCTTCCCTCCCATACCTACTTTGAGAGGCTTTTAAAGTCATGTTCATGATTCAACTGCTGTTTTCCCAGCCACCCTTGCTAAGCTTCACACAGAACAGTGTTCTCACGTGCCTCAGGAAACCAGAGGGTTATTTCCCTCAATTCTTATCATCCCAAAATGACAGCAGGAAGGACAAGGAAAATAAAAATCCACAAAGGGGCTGGGCATGGTGGCTCACGCCTGTAATCCCAGCACTTTGGGAGGCCAAGGTGGTCAGATCACCTGAGGTCAGGAGTTCGAGACCAACCTGGCCAATATGGTGAAACCCCACCTCTACTAAAAATACAAAAAATTAGCCAAGTGTGGTGGCGGGTGCCTGTAATTCCAGCTACTCGGGAGGCTGAGGTGGGAGAATCACTTGAACTCAGGAGGCAGAGGTTGCAGTGAGCTGAGATCCCACCACTGCACTCAGGCCTGGGCAAGAGAGCAAGATCTTGCCTAAAAAAAAAAAAAATCCGCAAAGGAAGCAAACTCTGAGAACAGGTTTGAAGCATGTGTGTCTCAGGTTCCCTTCAGACACGTCCCACAGACAAGGGACATCGTGTGCATAGTATCATCCTGCTGAAAGAGCTGGCGATTTTACAACAAAATGGCACAGAAAAAAAGTTAACACACGGAAACTGCATTAAAGCAGCGTGAATCAGAGGGCAACCGTGCCAGGCACTACGGTGGTGCCTGCCCAGCGTCACCCTGTCCCTCTTTCTCCGGACAGCTCTTTCCTGCTTAGGGGATGTGGCGGGAAACGTGGGCCTGACCCATCGGCCGGGCGAGCGGCACACCCAGGCCCAGGAATCCACGGAAGCCTCTGCCTTCTCCACCAGGACGGCTCCGGAGACAGGACGGGGCCCGGGGCGGGGGAGGCGGGACACGCACCTGCCACGCACTCCCGCAGGCACCTGCCCGGCGCACCTGCCCGGCTCACCTGCCCGGCGCACCTGCCCGGCGCCCGCCCCCCCCCAGAGTGGAGCCCGCGGTGCCAGGCCGCGGTGCCGGCGGACTGCGAGTTCCAGGCACCCAGACCCAACCACGCCCGAGGCTCCGGGGCCGGACCGCGGGATTACGCCAGGTCCTCCCGCGCCGTCCGGTTCCCCCGGGGCAGGGCGCAGCGCCGCCGGCCACCCCGGCCGAGCCTTCCGAGCGCCCCTCGCCGTCCTTGCCCCGCGCTGAGCCCCGACCTTTCGGCCGCTTCCCCTCTGGGTCCGGCAAGAGCGAGACGCGCGCGCCGAGCGGCGGGCACCGCAAGGGAGGCGGGGAGGACGCGCAGCTCCGGGCCGGGTCCCGGGCCGGGCCTCACCCCCGCCGGCCGGGCAGCCCGACCCCGGCCCGGGCACGCTCGCTCTCGGGGCGTCCGGGGCAGCCCTCCCGCGACAGGCTCCGCGACCAAGGCTGCCCGTCCCGGCGGCCGCGCCAAGCGTCCCAACGGCCGAGGGGCCGAGCCCGCGACCCGCCCCTGACCCGGAGCTCCGGGCGCCCGCCGTAACCGCCCTCGGGCTCCGCGCAGGCGAGCTCGTGCCCGGACCCCGCGGGAGGCGGCGCGACCCGAGGGACGCCGCGCAGGGTCCCCCGCAGCCCCGGGCGGCCGCCGTGGCCGGCTCCCGCGGCGGACGAGCGGGCCCGAGGGCCCGGCGCAGGCCTGGGAGCGCGCTCACCTCTCCCTGTCGCCGCGCGTGGGCCGCCGCCGCGCTCAGGCTCGCCGTGGTCGAGGCCGGAGCAGGGTGCGGAAGAGCGGGGCCCGCGCCCGAAACAGCCGCACCGCGCCGGGACTGGGCCCACCGAACCCGCCGCTGCGCCTCCGCCGCCTCAGCCTCCAAGATGGCCGCTCGCGGGGCGGGGCCGGCTCCGCTTCCGTTTCTGGTGCGCGCTCCGGGGGCAGGCGGCCGCTCTAGGCAGCCTGGAGGACCGCGCCGACTCTGTCGCCGCCGCCGGGTCGGCGCGTGCGCGCTGGCGCTGCGAGTCCCGGATCCCGAGGCCGCGCGCTCCGGTCTCCACGTGCCCCGGCCCAGGGCGGCAGGCCCGGCTGCAGGCGACCCCGGCGGAGACAGGACCCCGACCCTCCGGACTTGTCCTCCGCTCCCACGCCCCGCCCGGCCCCGAGGGGAGGCGCGGCGCGGACCGGGCGTGGAGCGCCCCGGGGCCCTGGAGGCCTGGCTGGGCGGAGGGTTGGGCGCCAGGGCGTTCAGAGCTCTCTCGTTCAGGGACTCGAGAGTGTCACGCGTGGGATCGCTTTGCAGCCCACGCCCGCGTCCCAGCACCGTCCCCTACAGGTGTCTGCCCAGCCCAGGGCCGCCCCCGCCCCGCACCCTCCCCTCAGGTGCCCGCCCCGCCCAGGGTCCCCCCCCCCCCAGGTCTCCCCCGCCCCGGCACCCTCCCCTCAGGTGCCCACCCAGCCCAGGGTCTCCCCCGCCCCGGGTCTCCCCCGCCCCGGCACCCTCCCCTCAGGTGCCCGCCCAGCCCAGGGTCTCCCCTGCCCCAGCACCCTCCCCTTAGGTGCCTGTCCGAGCCCAGGTCGCCCCTGGCCTCCCCCTGGCCAGACTTCAGAAAGCGCTGGGCACTGCGTTCTCTCCACCTGTCTCTCTGACCCCAGACGCAGTGGGAGGGAGCGGAGGTGGTTGGGCGCTGGGATGGGATGCTGGGATGGGACGCTGGGGGCGGGCACACGGCCCACCGCCTCCCTGAGAGGCAGCCGAAGACAGTGGGGAGCTGAGGGTGATCCCCTGATGGGGGATCGGGAGGTGGACCTCGCCACCAGGCTGCCCATGGCCTTCTCCTTCACCCCAACCCTGACTGCCCCTCAGAGACAACCACAGGTCAGCAAGGTGGCTGAACACTGAGGGTCGTCCCACGGTGGCTGTGGGCACAGGGCAGGTGGCATCCATGCTCAGCCCCAACTCTGCCCCTCCGGGACACCTTGGCAGGTCTGAGACACTGCTGCAGGCCCCAGGGCAGAAGCCAGGAGGAGTGTCCAGACGGCCTCAGCCCGTGGGAATCCAGCCTCTTCCACGCCTGCCGTCACCAGCTCCACCTTCAGAAGACACCTTGGTGTCAAGCCTCCTTCCTCTGCCTCCTCTCAGGCCTCTGCCGTTCCCATGCAGGGCAGGCCAAGCTGCTGTTACAGCATGGAAAGTTATGTAAGGGAAGCCACGCCACCTGCAGACCAGGCACCAGCACGTCCAGTTGCGTGCACACTGGCGGCTGTGGTCCATGGCAGATCAAGGCCCGCCCCTGCCTCATCTGTCCCTCAGTAACAGTGAGTGTGAAGAGAACGTACTTGTTAGTCCCTACAGGTGGGAAAGCTGCAGCATGAGGCTCAGCTCAGAGGCCCCTGCTCAGGAGCGCAGCTGAGTCACACCTCAGGGAAGGTACCCGGGACAGGTGTGACCAGCACGTCTTGCCAAGACCCCACCATGGCCCTTACCTCACCCACCCACATCTGTGGCCTTCTGGTAAGCAGGACTCAGGCTGCCCAGGCCTCTCGCCGTAGAGCTGATGGCCTTAGCCAGCGGGAACGGCACAAGCAGCTAGGTTGGTGGTAGAGGGTACCTGTAACCTTGTCAGCCCCGAGACTGCCCTCTGAGGCCAGGAGCCGCCCTTCTGCTGTGGGTCAGACCTCAGAAGGGCTTCATCTGGCAGAACAACGGGGACCACCCAGCATCTTGGCAGCAGGAGCACACTCTGCTTTGGGGTTTCAATAAAACATCATCCCCAACCCAGTTGCTACCTCCTGCTCCCACCTCCTCCAGCCCCCAGGGTCGGACCAGAAAGCCTTGGCCACCTCTGACCAGCAGGCACTGTCTGGCCAGGGCTTGAAGGAGAGAGAAACCCAGCCTGGAGGGTGCAAACCCAAAAGCATCTGAGGCAGGTCTGAGTCCCTTTAGAAAGCTTGTTTTGCCAAGGTTAAGGACATGCCCATGACAGCCTCAGGAGCCCAAGGTGCCTGTGGCCCAGCTTGCTTTTATACATTTTAGGAAGACATGATTTATTTACATGGGTTCAATCTGAAAGGGCAGGAGAAGGTGGGGTGGTTTGGGAAGACCTCTAGGTTCTTGGTAGATTCAGCATTTTTCTGATTGACAATTGGTTGAAAGAGCTATTATCAGTGGGAAAAAAGTCTGGGTTGCCGTAAGGGGTCGTGGTTTTCATGCAGCAGAAGCCTCAGGTAGTAGGCTTCAGAGAGAATAGACTATAAATGTTTCCTATCAGACTTCAGGCCTGTGCTGATGTGAATGCTGGTCAGCTTTTCCTGAATTCCAAAAGAGAGGAGGCATGAGGCATGACCCACAACCCCTTCCCATCACATCCTGGACAAGTTTAACAGGTTAGCACTGGAGTGCCTGTGGCCGGGAGGAGGGATCCATTCGGAAGGTTAGGGGCCTTAGAATTTCACCCCCTTCTGGCCAAGATGTGCCAGAGCCAACATCAATGGCTACCAGGTCTTTACTGTGTCCCATAGGATTGCTGGGCTAGTGTGGCTGCCAGCCCTGGATCAATCCTGTCTCTTGCTGGGACTCCCTATGACCCAGGAACTTAAGCCAATTAAATTTTCTAGGCCAGATAGAAATGGACATGGACCAGCATTCTTACCCTTTAAAACAATTTTTTTTCTTTTGAGATGGAGTCTCATTCTGTCACCTAGGCTGGAGTGCAATAGCATGATCTTGGCTCCCTGCAACCCCTGCCTCCCAGGTTCAAGTGAGTCTGCTGCCTCAGCCTCTTGAGCAGCTGAAACTACAGGTATGCATTACCATGCCTAGATAATTTTTGTATTTTTGTAGAGACAGGGTTTCACCTTGTTGGCCAGGCTGGTCTCGAACTCCTGACCTCAAGTGACCTACCCTTCTCAGCCTCCCAAAGTGCTGGGGGATTACAGGTGTGAGCCATCATGACCAATGTATCATGTAACATTTATTTATTTATTTATTTTGAGACAGAGTTCCGCTCTTGTTACCCAGGCTGGAGTGCAATGGCACGATCTCGGCTCACCGCAACCTCCGCCTCAATTCTCCTGCCTCAACCTCCTGAGTAGCTGGGATTACAGGCACGCACCACCATGCCTAGCTAATGTTTTGTATTTTTAGTAGAGACGGGGTTTCACCATGTTGACCAGGATGGTCTCGATCTCTTGACCTCGTGATCCACCAACTTCGGCCTCCCAAAGTGCTGGGATTACAGGCTTGAGCCACTGCGCCCTGCTCATGTAACATTTTTATAAATTCTTTTTTTACTGAACTTATTATGACTTACACAGACAATTTATGACATGCTTGAACTTTCTAATTTGTCCTGAACATCTCTCTTTCTTAAACAACCAGTAATTTATTTGTTATTTATTTATCTTTTTTGAGATGGAGTCTTGCTCTATGCCCAAGCTGGAGTGCAGTGGCTCAATCTTGGCTCACCACAATCTCTGCCTCCTGGGTTCAAATGATTCTCCTGCCTCAGCCTCCCAAGTAGCTGGGACTACAGGCATGACAACCATGCCCAACTAATTGTTGTATTTTTAATAGAAACAGGGTTTCACTATGTTGGCCAGGCTGGTCTCGAGCCCCTGACCTCGTGATCCTCCCACCTTGGCCTCCCAACGTGTTGGGATTACAGGAGTGAGCCACCACACCCAGCCTAGTCATTTATTTTGGGACAGAAGTTTGCCATACAAGATTCTTTCTCAGATAAAATTATTTTTCTTGTAACAGTTCTTTTTTTTTTTTTTTTTTTTG